AATCTGATGACAAAGGGGGTTCTATAATTTTGCCAAGCCCTGTATATTGATTTATTCGCTTACGTACTTATTTATGGTCTTATTAATTTCATTTATTTATGTATTGATTTGTCTATTTATTTATTTATGGTCTTATTAATTTATTAATATATGAATCTATTTGTCCATGTACTTATCTATGGTCTTACCAATTTATATAGTGTATTGGTTTTAATTAATTAATTAAATTATTTATTATTCGGATTCTTCTTATTTGGTCTGACCCTAACAACAACAACAACAACAGTATAAAAAGATATACGCCAAAAAAGATCATCAGCAAGTTACTTCAACATCAATTGACATCTACATCTCCAGTCCCGCTTCCCGACTTCTCTCACAATATCATTCCTGACGATGTGTTCCAGATAAGGGCACGAAAGCTTGAATCTCTTCTTTTTATTTCTGTTGGAAATAAATATTTAATAAAATGTTATTTACAGCAGTTATCTCTTTCTTTTCTTATCTATTTCCTACTGCTCTATCTCCTAGTATATATCTGTAGTGCATGATTTTTATGCTATTTTTTTTTTTACAGTTAGCACGCGACACAAAATGTCACGCATAGATCGTGATTTAAATTTCAATGAGACTTGGATGAGAGTATCAGAAGGTCTTGAACGTATTTATCGAATTCAAGAAATATCGCCTTCATCACATGGGGAACTTTATGCGTAAATATAAGTTTATTCTTCCTTTTTTTGTTTCTATTTCATTATTTGAATCGTTTTTTTATAGGTTGATTTATTATTATTGTACAAATACTCAACCACAAAGCTCTGGATCAAAAATACCGAGAAGACCCGCTCAAAATAATCTACATGACGGAGGTAATCTTGTTGGTGAAGAACTATATACCAAATTGAAAAATTATCTAAAAACTTATTTGAAAGAAATTTGTCAAGTAAGATTATTTGCTCAAGAGAGTAATTAACATTAATTAAATTATAAGATCATCAAGAATTTTAATTTAAATCTCTGTAAAAATGAGAGTTTATGCTTTTTTTGAACAATAATAATTTGTTTTCTCATGAGGGTCATTCTATAATTAACCATGAAAAGATTGCGAATATCGGAAGAGTATGGTAGAAACATCGACAGCCAAAGTAATGAGATCACTTGTCGCGTTCATGTGTAACTCATCCGTTTTTTTTTTACCCACATGCGTTTATATTGCTTGTTAAGGAGCAAGTAATGTTAAGCCTGAAACTAAAAGAGTTAACGAAGCAACCGATCAAAAATATAATTTATCTTCGTGTTACACTCTTTAATTCTCGATCTTCGGTGGTTCTACTGCGACTTGTGGCAACTTGTAATATTAAGGCCACCCCCCCCCTCAAAAAAAGTCAATTTTCGTGAGAACTGTCAAAATTGAGATAAATACATAGGAAAATAGCCCGTCGTCTGCTCTTTCAAAATCAATAAAAATTTTTCCTAAAACCTCCATTTTTTCCCGAAATATTCCAGAATTTCAGAGAACCAGTTTTTGAAAAACCAGCGGTTTTTTGAAATATCCAGAAATGTTTTTCGTTTTTTCTCGATTTATGATTTTTGGATTTTGGTACAAGGATTTCTTAGTCCGGGTCCGTCCAACATATTTAAATTTTTTTTTTGTTTGAAAGAGCGCGTCGAGATGCAGATCACTACAGAGTCCTTTTTTTAATTAAGCTTTGTTTTTTATTATATATAAAGACACTTATGTGACTGGACACCCATTTTTGGGGCGTTTTTTGAGTCATTGGACTTGTGATCTCCTTTCTCCGCTAAAAAAGTAAGAATCTCAAAAAAAGAACTCTGTAATGCTCTGCATCCTGATATGCTCTTTCTAACAAAAAAAAAATTTAAATACGTTAGACGGGTCCGGGCTGAGAAATCCTTGTACCAAAATGACCTATTTTTGACCCTTGTTTGGTGAATATCTCAGTCAAACATCAGGATATCGAGCTGAAAATTTTATCACAGCCTCCTCACATCAGCCCCAACATATGCTCCAAATTTCAGCCCATTTGAACATACCTGGGCTGAGATCGATTTTTGAGGGGGGGGGTGGCCTTAATTCAAAAATCATTTTATTTCTAATTTTTAACTTCTGCTATTGTTTTTAATAATGAAATTTATTAATTGTAGAAAGGACTTGATTTACAAGGCGAAAGTTTACTTCATTTCTATGCCACAAACTGGAAAAATTATCGATTTTCAAGTAAAGTAACAAATGGGTTTTGCCATTATCTAAATCGACATTGGGTACGACCAATGTATGATTCAGGAAGAAGAGATGTTTATGAAGTTTTCACTGTAAGTAAAGTTAGATTCTTTATCTTTTCAAATTAATTATAAAACTAATATAATTTGAGATGGCGATGGAAGTTTGGCAGCTAGTTTTCTTTCAACCATTGCAAAGACAAATAACATTAGTATGTCTTCAATTAATCAATGACGAACGTCAAAATAAAAGGATTAATACTCGATTTATTGGTGCAGTTGTACAAAGTTATAGTAAAGATCAAGATTCTTCTTTTTTCTTGAAATTTATGTGGAAAATTTTAGTCGAACTTGGCTTGATAGAAAATTCATCTGTACCAAATAATAGTCATAAAATGACATCTTCATCATTGAAAATTTATAAAGATTACTTTGAAGTACCATTTCTTGACCATACAAAACAATTTTATCGTCAGGAAGCAGCTAATTTTCTTGTTCACAATTCTATATCTGAATACTTGAAAAAAGTTTATATTTCTTTATAAAAATGATAAAATATATTTAATCTTAATTTTAATTTTAATAGGCACCACGATGGATTGATGAAGAATTACATCGAGCAGTATCATATTTACATTCATCAACATTAGCACCTTTAATTAAAATACTTGAACAAGCACTCGTTCATGAGCAACTTGAAGCAATCTGTACTGAAGCAAAAATACTTTTACACGATGACAATTATTCAGGTATAGAGACATAAGTTTATCAACATAATTGATATAGAAAATTTCATATGATCGATATTAAATGATTTATTTTTTAATAGATTTCGCATGTTTATTCAAATTAGTTGATCGAGTACCAAATGCGACTGTTCAATTGAAAAAAATTTTTGAAAACAATTTTCGTCCAAAAGGTATTGAATCTATGGAACGAATCAGTGCCACTGCAATTAATGTAAAACTAATTTACCATTATACCATACAATTATACTTATTTCTCTGTGATCTTTTTAGGATCCAAAAGATTACGTTGAAACAATTCTTAAGATTCATAAAGATTTGTCTAACGTTGCACAAAAATTTTTTCATAATAACGAACATCTTATTGCTTCTCTTAATAAAGTAAATAGATTATTTTCAAAAATAATCTCATTTATTATCTTGTATATTTAGGCTTGTGAAAATTTTATTAATAATAATGCAGTAACAGAAGCTGCTAATAATGCAACAAAATCAGCTGAATTATTAGCTCGATATTGTGATATACTTTTACGAAAAGGGTTTGTTTAGATTTGACATTTACTATTGAATTATAATCAATGAATGTTTTCAGAAGTAAAGTTGAAAGAGAAATCGATATTGAGGAAAAATTCAATCAAATTATGGTATTAGTTTTTGTTGTTATTGTTCTTAGTTTAGTTTTTTTTAATTTAGATAGTTTATAATTATGTTAAAGATAAACATAGTTTCGAAACATTTTATCGTAAAATGTTAGTCAAACGTTTATTAGGTAAATTAAGTGCATCGAATGATAATGAACAATCAATGATTTTAAGATTAAAAGTAAATAAAATTTATTTATCATTGTAACAAACTTCTATTAAATTTTTATTCTAGAACACCTGCGATTTCGCATATGCATCAAAATTAGAAAAAATGTTACAAGATGTTAATCTTAGTGAAACATTATTAGATCAATATCAAACATACTGTGAAAAAAATAAACTTGATGATATTGGTATTTGAAATTTATTCTAAATTTTTTATATGATAATTTCTGTCTTTTTTTTTCTTTTTCTTCATTTAGTTGATTTTTCTGTCATAGTTCTCAGTTCAAATTCATGGCTGTTTGCTGCGCCATCAAATTTTATTCTACCAGTTGAAGTAAAATTTATTTCTTTTTATCATCATTAATTTTTTTGTTAATTAAACATTTTGTTTTTAGCTTAAAAAAACATTTGATAGTTTTATTAAATTCTATACCCAACAACATACTAGTCGTAAGCTAACATGGCTTCATCAACATTCAAAAGGAGATTTACAAACATTATATACTAAGCCCAGATATATTTTACATGTATGTATTGATTTAGTCTATGATTTAATTTTTATTTGTTTTGTTTGGTTTTAAATATTAAAGGTATCAACATATCAAATGGTAGTTTTACTTTTATTTAATAAATTGTCACGTTGGACAGTTGAAAGAATGCAAGAGGAAACTCAAATCAAAGTTGATTTATTTTTACAAGTTCTTTGTGGTTTATTGAAAAGTAAATTAATAACATGCGCAGAAATTAATGATAATGAATTTGACGAAGATTTGAAAGAGACTGATATTAAAATGAATTATAATATTCAAATAGCTGAAGATTTTAAAAGGTTAGTATATTTTATTAATCATTTGGTTAGAAGTTTACAGAACAACAAAAAAGAAACGTTCTCGAAGAACATTGTGACTTTGATGATACAAAGCTATTTTTGATGAATAATAAACAATGAGTCAGTTGGTAAAACATTTGAATAGTCGTTGCAGAAATGAGATCAAAATAAATGTCATATGAGAATAGAATAATTAGAAAACATTGAGAGAGAAAATCGAACAATTTATTAAATAATAATAGAAGAAAACAATAAAATTCATAATAAGACCATCAAAACAACTTGAGTAGCAGTTAACAGCGTTACATAACATTTTATTGTAGTTTTATGATAGATTAGGACCAAATTATATACGAATAATTTGTATCGGATTTTTTTTTCTTCTGTTGTTAACTTCTATGATGTCTACAAAGCTGATTAATGATAATTATATTATTGAATAATTTGATTAGTAACTTAACTTTTGCCTAAAGGCTCAATATAAAAAAATTCTTAAATTTTTTTTCTAGTAAGAAAATTAAAATAAACTTGAATGTACCATTAAAATCAGTCGAACAAAAAGATATCGAAGATTTACATCGAACAATTGATGAAGATCGAAAAATGATTATTCAAGCTGCAATTGTTCGAATAATGAGAGCTCGACAAACTCTAAAAGATGCATTATTAATGCAAGAAGTTATACAGCAACTAAGTTCACGTTTTGAACCAGAAATATCTGTGATTAAAGTAAATTGAAATTTAATTTATATTTTAAAAAGAAAAACTTTTATTGATAAATATTTATTTATTATAGAAATGTATTGATATGCTAATTGAAAAAGAATATCTTGAACGTCAATCAAATGAAAACGATGTGCTACATTATTTGGCTTAAGATATATAATCCAAGGGATTGATATGAAAAAAATGTCGAAAAATTTAACTTTGATCTAGTTTTTTATTTTTCATGAAAAAACTCGAATAAAAAATTTTTCTTTCTTATAATAACATCAACGTCTGTTCTATAAAAAGAGAAAATGGAAGAAAAACACAACCATGTGATCTTTCAAAAAATAAATAAGTACTCTAAAATACACATAAGTGAATAAATTCATCAGCAATAAGATAAAACTCACATATTACTCAATAACTACGCAATGATGGAAACTGTTTAAGATTATCAAATGTAACTTTCAGTGATATTTTGTAATTAATCGTATTCAATCAATCGAGTCTTCAAAGACAAAAATGAACTTTTTGCTTTTGAAGAAACTTTAATGAAATCTAAAGCTATGTTTTTTTT